CTAAACTGATAAGCGTCCATTAATGACGACGGCGACTGCCGGGTAAGTGGACAAAGCCATATCCAAAGTTTCTATGTACTTGAGCTTTATTGTTTCCATTTCCATTCAAATTCCCATTTCCATTCCCATTCTCAGCTGAGCATTGGTGTTAGGGTTCAATGTTATGGAAATGCAATGCGCACTGTTTATGCAATGAGGAAGAGACGCATACCATTGTCTCGGTTTATTTATAGCCACTGGAGGAGATGTTAAGTAAACAGAGTAATTGGAAAGTGCTCACTGGAAATAGGAATTGTTTTGCGCGTCCGTTTTGTGTACACAATACATTCGCTTGGCTAATTGTTTCGCTGAAAACCTGCTTGACTCATCGCTGTATTTTTTGTTCTTTTCTTTTTCTCCTTTTTTGCAAAATCATAGCAGGCTAAAGGTTGGACAGCGCCCCTCACTTATACATAATGTTAGCGCACGTGTCCGACAGAACCTTTTGTTATGTGTACTTGAAGCATATGCAATTGTATTATGAAACGAATGAAATGGATGCGTAATGTCAGAAAGTGCCAATGAGAGTAAGTAGAAACTTGTGTAAATTTTGGTAACAACATATATGTTATATTGTAATTTATTTAATTTTACTTACATCCTATTTATTGTTTAATAACAAACGCCCACACGAACGCTTTAATTTCTAAGTAATTATCACAAATTCTGTTAGAACTTCATAACAGAGATACTAAAATTTGTCTTTAGCAGTGTGCACTAAACGAAAAATATTAACACTCACTTACAAATTTTGGTACGCTAGTGCCACCTTAATTGGTCCAAATAATAGAATTAACTAAACTAAACTTTAATAATTAGGCACGTAGCGTAGGCGCCTACATAGAGACCGAGCAGTGTGTACACACGACTGTATGCTAAACAGCTGTTATTGGGTGGAGTGTGTACACCAGGCCGAAGCGGTGCTTAAACCGATATTTTATCGTCATCGCCATTTATCACGTGAATCTTATGCGAAATTGTGAATTGTCATTTTCGTGTTGAGTTTCTATCAGAGACTTGTGCTCCGTTCGTACGTGCATTGTGGGTGGTGCGGTTGCGTTGCTTCATATATTTTTTAAAAAACAATTTCAACGCACAAAGTTAAAGCAGTGTTTTCTCTATATACGAGTTGACGTGTATTAGTGCCGTTTAAATGTAAGTGATTGCATTAACAATGCCAGTTTCTGTGCGGAAAACGACAACGCAGCAATTGCGCGCATGAGACAAAAAATACAACAGGTCTGCTGACCTGTTATCAAATGTCCAACTGTACAGTGTAATGGGAGTCTAACCATTTTGCATGTGTTTAAAAGCCACATTTGCTCTGATAAAAAGGCAAATTGATTCTGTATATGTGATTCTGAATATGACCCTGAAAAACTGTTGACTCGTTCATTTGGCATCGACTTTTTTGGGGCGCAACGCAAAGCTGGCAGCTCGTATGGCTAGTGGCAGCGACTAAAATCGAACAGTGGGCATTTGTGTGTGTTATGTGTTGGAAAATATGTTGGCAAATGTTTAGTTGTTTTGTTTTTATGCTTCAAACTCTGTGAGAAAGAAAAGAAAATATCGATCGAAAAGCTGTCATGTGACTGTCACGAACAGCTGACAGTGCGGCAAACTCACCACGGTAGTGTGTGTGTGTGTTTGTGCCGAGCTGTGGTAAATTGCCTCAGTGCGTATTCGCTCTCTCTCTATCTCAAATACTCTCTCTTGGGCTGAATGCGGCTCTAACGCGGTCTCTCGCTCTCACTGTCTCTGCGTAAACAAAATATGCAGCCATAAAATTGAAAATCATTTAACATGTTTATATTAATTAAATTGATGAATTCTTCCGTATTTTCCTTGACGGCTACCTGCTGTTAGCCACACAGTTACACAAGGACTTCATCAAATAGTAATATTGCGTGCCGGCAGGACCTTGACTGCGCTTGACCAGGCGTAAATGTGAAGCAAAAAGTCAAACATGCTTACATATTTGCCTAATAAAACACGAATGTCGGCAGCTGGTAAAAGAAAAAAGAAAATTTAAAAAAAAAACAGCTGCTGGTTTTCACATACTTTAAAGGCTTAGCGACAGGCAACAAATGACAAGCAAAATGGCTTTTCCTGACAGCACACATTAATATTAATTAATTTGATCCCGCCCGCCCGCTGCCCCCGTCGACAGTTACAATGTACATAACCATGTATGTGTATGTGTGTGCGCGTCCCTAACATCATCACAGTTATTCAAGTCGCTATTTTTGTTTTCGTCATCAGCTAACGGTGCAATTTCCTGTGTGGCGTCCTTTGAAGCCAAACTTCCCCTGCTCTCCACCTCAACCCGTTCTTTCTCCCACCACACACATTTGTGCCAGCCGTTGGCCAGTCTGACTGGCGACATGCTCGCTTCTTGTTGCTCTTCCACGCTCTTCGCTTCTGTTTTGTGCCCACATCATTTACGTCTGTTTACAGTTGGAGCTTATCTCGCAAACAGTGTTGCCAATTTATGCAGTTGTTTTTCATAAAATGGCGCTTTTAAGACATTTATCTAATTAATTAGAAAAACATATAATTAGATAATTGCAAACACGGAATAGCTGAAAAGTAGCTTCAAATGTTACTTTGCGTACTTTGTCCGCGTGAATGATAAGCTGAATGCTTTACGCTTGTCCGCGAGTAACATAGAATAAAATACATAAACATGCAAACATATAAGTGTGTACATATAGAATGTGTATGCAAGCATAACTTCTCCCCGAAAGGGGGGAGGAGGGAAGGAGGTGAGGTGTCCGGCACTGGCTAGTGATTTGTACAAAAGCAATTTCGAGCTTGGTGCTAAAAATAGACTCGTTTTGTTGTTGGCCCTTCGTCGGTTGCCAGGCGAACATTTGTTTCCTGGTTGAGGACAATGCACTGCCTTGAATGTTGTTGTTGTTGTCCTTGTTGTTGACGTTGTCGGCGGGGCTGATGATAAGCCAGGATAGTTATGGCGGGGTGATTATTGGGGATGGTCAGCGACCAATTCTGTTGTCATTTTCTTTATTTTGTATACCCTGTAACTGTTTTTGCTGGTGGCTGCCCGACCGTCTATCTGTATGTCTTTTCTTATCAGATATATGATTTATTTGTCATTGAAAGTGCCCTGTAAATGTGGAACGCCCTTCTATGCGATTTTCGTTATCTCAAGTGATAGCTTGAGGCTCTTTTTACAATTGGGTCTCTCTCTCTCTCGCGCGCTCTTGCATTTCAACTTGTATTATTATCACCCTTCTATGCGATTTTCGTTATCTCACGTGATATTTACACACATTCGAACTATTATAACTATGAGTCTCTTTTCATACTCAGGTTGTCCTCTCTCTCGCTCTCTCGCATTTTCATATTAGTCACCAACGCCTTTCTATGCGATTCTCATGATTCGAAAAAAGCACACATGTTGTGATAAGCTCATAAATGTTCCGTGCGTTTGTTGTGGCAATTCAGACACCACAGAGTATCTGCTAGCTCTATTTACATATGTACATTTCTTTATATATATATTTTTTTTTGTGGTCTTCGAAGGCCATCATGAAGTTATGTAATAATAGTGACTACTACTAAAACGAAATTGACCCTAAGCTAGATTTGTATCTCCAGATGATTACTCATACGCAGCTGACCTTAGAGCGGGCAACAAAAGCAACCGCCGGGGTCGACACTTACCAAATTGAACAGGCAGGCGGCTTGCGTGACGCTGCCTCGTCATCGATTCCTTTCGTGGCTGCGCCTTTGTGGCACCAACAAATTTCGGTCGCAACCATATGGCAGCCAGCAACCGCGGCGCCAACATCGCCTCAGCGATTCATTTCGCATCGAGCCTTCGACGAGTGCGCACGGGTTTTTCATTCTTCTCTCTTCTGCTGTGGGCCATGTGTGCCACAGTAGCTGCCCCGGTCGGTCGGTCGTCGTAGTGCCAAGTTTTGTTTATCGGGTATCTGGTTAACAACAAAATAAACAAGGCAGAAAATGTCTCAAAGAGCTGCGAGAAGCTGCTGACTTTATTGTTATAACGCCAAAACCTGTTAGAATAGTGTCAGTTGGAAAAACATAATACAGTTAAAGATCCCTAGAACGAACAGAGTTTTCCATAATATAAAACAAACATAATACAGTGAAAGCTCCCCACAGAGAACAGAGTTTCCAAAATAAAGGAGATAAACAAAAAAATAATAAAAAAAATTTATTAATAAGATTTGAGAGTTTTTTCTATTTAATGACTAGAAAAGTTTTTGGCACAAATAATTAAGTGCACGTACGATTAATATTGATCACAGTGCAAAAAGTAGACGTCCGCTCAAAAATAACATTTTAATAACATTACCATCATTTCACATAGATGATGGTTTTTATGGAGCTTTCACTGTACTTAATGCGCGCATATTGCGTATACGCCGTGTCTTCGAGCCAACGCACAGGACCCGAAGTCTGCCTGGCGCCAACTGTCTGCGCTTTGTTGTCTAGCAGGCGACCCAAAAAGAAAATGAACACACACACATACACACATATATATATATATATACAAAAATATATAAGTGTGTGCATTGTTGATTTCCCAGGGCCAATGCAACGCATATTGATGTTCGATCGCATCTAAATGCTAGGCTAATCCACAGTTTGGAGGTCAATAATTAAATTTTTATGCGTGTTTTCAATGTGTTTGTTTGGCCATTTTAATATGTACATACGTACATATATATGAACTTTGAATCGATATTGGCTCAAATTACATAATGGAAATTATTTATGGCACGTTTGTGCACTCAATTCTAAGGCAAACGGCAGACTTTGTCGACGAATTTCCACCAAGAAAATCATGTGAAAAATATACAAATTAATTATACAACAGTTCTGCAACAACATTTGCAATTATTGCAGACTTCTCCTATGCGCAATTTGTGTATATTTTTGATAGACTAACATTTCCAATTTCCATTTAGCAACTATCAAAATGATGTCCGAATATTGGATTATCTCGGCGCCGGGCGACAAGACGTGCCAACAGACGTTCGACACGATGAACAACCTCACCAGCAAGCAACATAATCTGTGCAGCAACTACAAGTTCCATATACCCGATCTGAAGGTGAGCACCTACACATCGCATCAATCATTCGTCACGTGCTTAACCATATATACTCTACATTTTAGGTGGGTACCTTGGATCAGCTGGTCGGCTTGTCCGACGATCTGGGCAAACTGGACACGTACGTGGAGCAAATCACGCGCAAAGTAGCCATGTATCTGGGCGAGGTGCTGGAGGATCAGCGCGATAAGCTGCACGAGAACCTGCTGGCCAACAACAGTAAGTCCTAGACGACTAGTGCCATTAAATGTTCCAATCAGTACTTAGACCTAGCTTAGACCAGTTTTACGGTTTTAGTTTAGCAAGCGAAACCATAAATATTTTTTTATTTAGTTATATCACTAAGAACTTTTCTTAGCTGATGGTAGCATAAATTAATATTATACGGAATGCTCTAAAGAAAAGAAAAAAAAAAAACAGATTAGTCGTATATTGTCGCCTCTATTGTTTTCTACAAATTACTAACAAAAAGCCCGTTTATATTAAGAACTTTTACACATAAATATACATACATATTTATTAATACAGTCCCAAGGTTTCGGCCCATTCCCTTTTTTTGTCCTTTGCCAAATTCAAGAGATACGTTTAAAATATCTTCAATCTCTTCAAAATATGGAATGTTTATATGTCTGACAATTTCTACAATTTGACTAACACCTAAAAAAAAAAAAATTAAACAAAAACAGTCTCAACAAAACGTTTTTTTTTAACAAAGGATTCGTTTTCAGCCTCGAAATTGATTTAAAAACTAATCGATTTTCAGCTGAATAATTAAGGTTATCCTTTCTTTATTTTTTTTGTACTCTTTTTAAAAAAATATATTTTTTTAAAATTTTTTTTAAGTTTTCCTTTTTTATTTATTTTGTTTTTAGTTGTTTAACTTTATGTTGAAACTCATGCGCACAAATCATCTCTCACGACCAAAAAAAAAAAAATCGAAGAAAAAAAGCAGAAATAAAAATAAATTTGATAAATGTTTATTATTAGCAACAACAATGGAACTAAAGTTTAGAACTAAAAACAAATGAAATGTCAAGAGAATTTGCGTTGTTTATTTTGTGTTGCGTTTGTTGTACATTTCTCTAATAACTATTCTATACCCTACACACCCAGATACCCTACCCATCCACACACATACATATACATGCTATATAGTTAACAAGACATAGACGCACACACACACACACACACTGACACACACAGACACACAACTTGTAGCTCCAAATGATATTTCACCAAGCGCCCGCTCTTTGGATCTGTTTACTCAAACAAAAAACACTTTGTATATTTTACATGAATTACTTAAATATTGTAAATCTTTTCATTATTATTTTCAATATATTGTTTACTTCTTCCTCTTTGTTGCCAAAATTTCGTTGTGAAAGCCCATTAGTTTTTAAATCATTCACAAAAACAAAAAAGAAAGAAAAAATAAGTGTAACTTGCGCAAAAAGCAAACAAATTCTTTTTCAATTTTTTAATCCATAAAGTAATAAAAATATTTAAAAAAAAGTTTATATATACATATATATGTGTGTATATATAAATTGAAATCTGATCAGTTGTTCCTTATGTAAAAAAAGTCATTAAAGAAGGAAAAGCGCGTGTGTTCTTTTTTCTTTTGAGTTTTTCTTTACCAAATTTTTTTGTTTAACTTCTTTTTCTTTTGCTATGATTTACTTAAATTAAGTGCGTGCGTCTTAAATAAATAAATTTGAAAACGTTTTCTTTATGTGTCTCTGTGTGTGTCTCTCTGTCTGTCTGTCTGTGTGTGTGTGTGCGTGTGTGTGTGTGTGTGTGTGTGTGTGTTGTTGTGCATATTGTTCGAGCCTTTCTTTTGCTAACAATAAACATCGCATCGTTCGCATTGTGTTCTCTCTCTTTCGCTCTCACCTCCTATGATAATTATATATAACAATATTAACTGTGCATTTTGTTACTAATATTTGTTTAGCACTCATTTCGCTGTGTTTGTGTATGTCTCTGTGTGTGTGTGCGTGTGTGCTTGTGTGTGTGTGCTTCACATGTTTGCCATGCTTCTTTTTTTTTTTTTTTAGCTGTAGTTGTGAAACAATATCAATTTATATAACGCTTTTACACTGTACAAAATTTGATTTAATTTGTATGATATTCGAATTGCCCCACAAGAGAAAATCGGAGAAGCAAAAATTCTAAAATTGAAGAGAAAATAATTCGACAAAAAAAAACTATGAGTTTTCTCTTGCCACACACATTCTTTCCACTGTTGTTCATAAAATTATGTACATCTATAATTTTATTATATTGGTTTTAGAAATAACAACATTTCCGGCCACAAAAATTGCCCACCCCCCACACATGAGTTTGAATATATTATTCTCACACACACACACATATATATATATATATATGGAGATATATATATACATATATGAAATTTATTTTAATTTTTGGAATTTCAGTTCATCTCTTAATTTCATTCTTATTATATATATATTTTAATTTTGTTTACTTTTCGCTTTGGTTCATATCAAATCGAATCGAATATCGAGTTCAAAGTGTATAGTTTTTTTTTTACCTCAATTTACCTACATATATATCTAGAGGCCCATTAAAAACATTCTGGCATAGCCCCAAAATGTATGCTATAGTTTTTAAGATTTGGTCCGACCCAACCCCGAAAGAACTGAAAGAAAACTTTGTGTTAATATGTGCTGTAAGATAAAAGAAAATATGCAAGTGCGTTTATTATAATCGGTGTAAAAACAACCTCAAACTCAACCTCAACTCAACTCCAAATTGCATCCGAAAATTGCGGTACCAGGTCCTGGCCCGCCCGATGAGAGCATGCCGTGTCGACACCACCAGCGCCTGAAGCATCTGAGCCTGCGCCATCAGCGCAAACACCAGCACACGCACCACCAGAACAATCCGCTGCACTACCATCCCCACCATCTCCATCAGCTGCCCACGGATCTCAAGGGTAAATGCAACAACAATCTCACAACAAAATCAACAACAACTGCAACAACAACAACAACAACAGCAGCAACTGCTTCAACTACTACCAATATTATCCACAATATGCCGCATGCCCACGCCCAAGCCCAAGCATCTGCCTGCCAAGCCTCCTCCTCCTCCGCCTCCGCCTGCGCCTCGACATCAGCCAGAGCCTGTGCCGCCTGCCAGGTGGGCGGCAGCTTGAACAATTTATCGGACTCGTCCGAGCGTGACTTTGACTTTGTGATACCGCCCGGTTGTGCCTGCGATGAATGCTTCGCCCTTAGCAGCAGCGCCACGGCGAGCACCCTGATGGCCGATGAATGCTATACCCAGACCGCTTCCTCCATGCTGAATGCCACGCGCTGTGCGATAAATACGGTGACGGCGATTGCCACCGGCAGCATGAGCAGCAGCACCAGCCCAGCAGATGCCGTTGCCGCCGGCGGCGGCAAGGCCAGCTCTGTGTCGACGATCTGCTCCTCGTCGGCTTATTTCTCAACGTCGGCGCCAACTGGCAGCAGCTCGGTGCAAAGCATGTCGCGCTCTAACAGCAAAAAGCTGAATAACAATACTTGCAACATAAACAATAACAAGCTGAGCTTTCGCAGCAGCAGCAGCCAAATCAGTCAACAACAACAACAGCATCAGCAGCAACAACAACATCAACAACAACAACAGTCCCCCAAGCAACACTTGCAACAGTTGCAATTGGGCGCTTGCTCCTCGGTCTCCCCGCTGCAATCGCCCACAGCCAAGTCCAGTTGCGACACGGACGAGGATGTCGAACTGGACGATCCAAAAAGTCCGAATAGCGCCTCCTCGTTATCAGAAACGTTTGACTGGTGGTTCAATAAGCCAAAGCGTAACTCTAAGAAGTCCAGGTATCTTTTATCAACGCATTTATCTATCTGTAGAACAGTTGCCAAAAAGCACCAGCCACAAAAAAAAAAAATACAGAAAAATATATGCTAAATGCCCAAAGTCCAGTATTTACACGCAATCATCCAAAACTAGAGTCCTGCATCGGTTAATACGTTCGCAACCAACTCGAATGCTGAATTGATTCAAACGAAAATCAACAGACTCGAACGTTCTAGTAGCAAACTAAGTTGTGTTCTAACATGGAAGTCAGCAAACCCAGAGATACTCATTAAACGAAGTTCGACTTGCTTGAAGCAGCAACATGTTCAAGCTAAAGAGCAATAAATTTGTTGTCTATGTGGGACAATACAAACATGTATAAACTCATATTCGAACACAATCGAACACAGTTTGGATCGAACAGAAGTAGTAAGAAGTGTATTGCCTGTCTGCAATTCGTACGGCTCGATCCAACAAAATTCGAGTTCGATCGAACAGAATTGTTGTTCAAATCGAACGAGTAAATTTTTTGTCTGCAACTCGATCAGCTCGAACTTGAGTCTTGCCCCGCTTAATTTAAACATTTGTTTGAGTGTCCGAAACGCGTTACGTTTGGCTCGATGCAGGGTTCTAATCGCTACACTCGGGCGTGCTACAGAGCTGCAGTCATCCAGACACAAAATAAACACAGACACAGAATACACTGTAAAAAACAAAAAAGACAAACATGCACCTGCTTTGCCTGCGCTCTCTTTCCCTCTCTCTCGGTTTCTCTATAACCCACTCATGCATAAATGTTTGATTTCATTAAGAAGCAAATTTCAACAAAATAAATTGCAATAATAATGTATTTCTTTTTTTAAATCAATCATGACTCACATTCCACCCATCAAATGCACCACACAATCTACACTCTACTACACAGCACACAAACACAGACACACTCACAATCACAATCACACTCACAAACACAATTCAGACCAATTCCATTTTGGCATCAGACATCGCCCACACCGCGCTCTAGTTATCGCTCTTTCTTCAATTCTCTTGCCGATCAAATTTATAGCAAACGTTCTACACCGTCTCAATTAAATATAAACAATGGATTTAATTTAACACCAACTCATAGATCGTCTCCAGTGAGTAGTTGTTGTGGCAGTAGTAGCCAGGGTCGTTCCAGTCCAGACACGGATCATGCCGAGCCGCCCGAATTTCCGCTGTGTCCAGGTTAGCATGCCTGGCCCCTATCTATATATATATATATATATATATATATATATGGAAATATATATAAAACCAAGTATCTATATATATATATATATATATATATATGGAATATGGCCCTTGGACGTTGCTCTAATTGTTTTCCTTTTACTTCCGTTTTGTATAACGCTTTTCCGTTGATTTTTCCTTTCGTTTTTCCTGTGTTTTTTTCCTTTCTCACTTTTCGTTTCGAGGAACCACTTGATGTGCCCCACCTACAACTTATTTCTGACCATCACGTAAAGCTCCCGGCCAAGACTTTGCTTACATTTTGATTGAAGCGTTATTTTTGTTGGGAATTGATTAACTGTTATACGGCATAAGTGTTATACACCTGTTATACAGTTTCACAGTTCCAAAGTCTTTCTCTCTCTCTCTTTCTTTCTCTAAACTATTTTGCAGATGTTTCTTTTAAGTTAATTAGCCGATTTAAGCGGCTCTCGTCACCTAATTTCCTTTACCATATAAATACACCAAATTATTTGTAACAGTGTAAAAGCGAATATGTTGTTCTTTCAGTGTACTGCTCACCAAATGTTGTTCTGCTGCGCAAATATCATAGCCACGATTAACGCCGATTCCCATTAAGCTAAATATTAATACACACACACACACACAGATTTTCTGTTTATTTAATATATATTTTATTTTAAGCCCTATATATATATATATATTTTTGTTTTAAAATTTATATTTACTCTTTTGATTTGCATTTAAGTGTCTAAGTATAAGCTTATTTAATTACCCAATTATACACAAGCCATACAAATCAGCTAACCTTTTGTGCCGTTTCAAATGTGTTGCGAAAGGTACTCGTTGTTCCTTCTAATTCTAATATTAACAAATGTTATTCTATACCTCGCGCTCTATAGATACCCTATCCACAAGTCTTAATTAGCAACTCGTATGCGTAGTGCATTGTATTTATTTTATTTTAGTTGTGCATGCAATTAAAAGCAATTCAGTGTTAACTAATCTAGTTGGGATTAGTGGGCCTAGTTGGATTTCCCAGTGTTAGTAAGCGAAGGCAACTGTACTCTTTGATGACTTATTAGCTTTCTATTGTTGTAACTTGACTTAACTTTGGTTTTTTTTGAAAATCGTTCTACTACTTTATCATATAACTGTCATCATTAAAAAAGTATTTTCTTTGGAGTCTTGTAAAATGCCAAAAAGGTTTCTGAACATCTAAGATATATATATCCAACTATTAATATTCCTATAAAAAGTAGATCTAATGAAATCATTCGACAAATAATTTGACGGGTTCTTCAAATAATAATAGAATTCTGAACAAGACCGTTCCCATTGGAACGATGTGTTGTGTTGTAAAATGTCGGCACATCTAAGATATAAATTTCCCACTATTAAAATCCCTTTGAGATGTATCTCTATAAAAACAATTCGATCTCCTAAATAATACGCACTGAACTGCTTAGCTAACTAACTAATTTTAGTTAATTGTTTTTGTTAACAATTTTCTAACTTTTAATTGCCTTTTTTAAGCATTTTTATATATGTCTGTATATCTCTTTTTTAATGTATATATTCAACGTTATGTAGTATTTATTAAATCATGTGTGAAATGAATTTTGAATTTTGTCGTGTATGTATGTGCGTGTGTGTGTGTATGTGTGTGCGTCTTGTAATAGTGTTCGTCTATATATACTACTTATATATTTATCTTGAGCAATATTTATTACCTACTTAACTTTGTTGTTTATGATTTCCAAACTAACTTAGTTTGTTTTATACTAATTACCAAAAACAAAAAAGAAAATAAATAGATAACGATTATTTAAATTTTATTTTTCTGGACAAAGCTATCATTGCGAAAGCGTACTAATTCCCTTTTCCATTCTCAAATCGAATTAACAGCCGAACTGCCGCAGTATTTAACGCGTTTCCAATGGGACATGGCCAAGTATCCGATCAAGCAATCGTTGCGCAACATTGCCGACATCATTTCCAAGCAAATTGGCCAAATTGATGGCGATCTGAAGACCAAGTCGCAGGCCTACAACAATCTGAAGGGCAATCTACAAAACCTGGAGAAGAAGAAAACGTAAGCTGACATAATCTTAGTTAACGATTCAGGCAATCTCTAATTACTTTTACTCGCACACAGTGGCAGCTTGCTGACCCGCAACCTGGCGGATTTGGTCAAGAAGGAGCACTTCATATTGGACTCGGAGTACCTGACCACGCTGCTGGTGATTGTGCCAAAGTAAGTGGACGCGTGGCATGTCCAACTATTCCGTAAACAAGGCTGCAAGCCCACGGATTACCTCATTCCGGTTCCGTTTTGCAGCATTGGTTGTTAATGCTTATGCTACATACTTATGTTCCTACCTTACCTTTTAGGACCATGGCCAACGATTGGTTAGCCAATTACGAGAAAATCACGGACATGATTGTGCCACGTTCGTCGCAGCTGATCAAGGAGGATCCCGACTATTGCCTGTTCAATGTGACGCTCTTCAAGAAGGTCACCGAAGAGTTCAAGCTGCATGCACGTGAGCGCAAGTTCATTGTGCGCGACTTTGTTTACAACGAGGAGGAGCTGGCCGCGGGCAAGAACGAGATGACCAAGCTGATGACCGACAAGAAGAAGCAGTTTGTGCGTTGCACAATTAACTTATTTATACATCAAATAATTGTCTGTTTAATATCATTTAACAGGGCCCCTTGGTGCGCTGGCTGAAGGTGAACTTCAGCGAGGCCTTCTGCGCCTTGATACATGTCAAAGCGCTGCGCGTTTTTGTGGAATCCGTGCTGAGGTAGGCAACGCATCCATAAATATTTCTTGCTGTGTCCTTAATCAACTTTATGCCCTATACAGATACGGCCTGCCGGTCAACTTCCAGGCCATATTGATTGAGCCCAACAAGAAGAGCGTGAAACGTCTGCGTGACGTCCTGAACCAGCTTTATGGCCACTTGGACGGTGCATCCGCTGGCGGACATGTCAGCAGTGCTGATGTAAGATGACTACTCCACTCTCTAAATGCATACTAATGCTTTTATGGTTCTTGCAGAATGTCGACATACCCGGCTTGGGCTTTGGCCAGTCCGAATACTATCCCTATGTGTTCTACAAGGTGAACATCGATATGGTTGAGCAAACCAAGCTTTAAGAGGCCGTTCTCATGCCTCTGCATCGCACACACACACACACATCCACGCAAATATAAATACAAATATGCCAACAGCAAAAATTAATAATTGAATATGCAAATTATATATTCAGCGGCAGATCCTGAAAAGGGCGCTGACTAAACTTAAATCTATCCTGCTCATTGAATCCAAATCAACTACAACAGCAACAGTTGCCACGCCTATTAAAACACGCAAACAATTAATAGTTTACTATAAATATTTTTAGTCATTGTTATATAATTATTGTTGTTATTTATGTTACGCGTTCATACAATTCCGTTTCAAGTTCAACTTAAAAAACAAAAGAAGAGTTTAAAAAAAAAATGCGCGTAAGAGAAACTAAGAAAATTTGAGAACAATTTCAAGTCGCAAAACTAATGCAAAGTACATTAAAAAAGAAATTGCATAAAAGTGTATGTTTTTATTTTACGTTCATTGTTCTGCTTCAGTTATAAACAGTATTTTTTGTTCTTTTGTTTTCTGGCTTTGTTTTAAACGAACTAATAATTGTGCTTTGTTCTTGCAATAAATACACACACACATTTAGTTAATTGATATAGAAAACCTTCACTAACTGAGCCAACAATATTATTATTAATACAAATAAATATTTGATTTATATATGTTTTTTTTTTACCCGTCTTGTTTTTGTGCTGTAACTAACCTAAATTGCATACTTCTCCCGACTAAACCAACTGTTAAACTAAATTTATAACTATAAGTATAAATGGTGTCGCAAATAGTTTGATTTAACTAAAACATATTGAAATGAAAAATGAAAATCGATGCAATGAAATTTTCACTGGAAATACAAAAACCCCAAAACGAAAGTATTGTATTTATAAATGTTGCCTAGATATCGAGAGTTTATTGAAAACAAAATAGTAAACGCAAACAAATTCAAATTCGCTATGATAAAGCTGAGAAACTGTTTAAATCCCTTCTTGTAAGTTGTGCAGTCTAAGAAAGTTAAGCATAAATCGAACAGAACATAAAACCAGAACGAAAAGGGTCTAATTTAATTGCTGGTGAGGCCACGTTATAAATAAATACGCGTACATATACTAATCTATGCCCAATTTAAAGGAGAACCTAATGCACTAAACTAATGAATAAAAGAACAATAATATTTGTATGTAAATTAAATTAAATATATTTGCAATGTTTGTTACTGCTACAACATTAAAATCTAATTGTGTTAACAAACTAAGGGAACCCACCCTCCCCAAAAAAAGAAACAATTATAAAATCGAGACAAAACGCAGTATCTTCTAAATATACATATGTATACATATATATTTTAAATTTATGCATTATTAAAATATGTAAATGTCAATGCGTTATATAAGGTGCCGTTAAGCCATCCTTGTAAATAATTATAAAGAAAGAAAGACATTCCAACCTTGTTTGTTTTCAATTGCCCACAGAGTCGCGTGCCTCGAAAATATATTAATGGTAAAGTGATATCTTAACATCAGCTGAAAAGCACAATTCCTCCCATATATAAAACAGTTTAACGTGTACCAAAATTGCGTCGACATCGACTAATCTTTACTCTTTTTCTTTAGCTTAAGGATAGACAACTAAGAGATAAGCTAAGACAAAAACTAAACATGTAGACTTAATTCTAAGTGCACATAACTTATATTGATCTAGAAATGCTTCAAGTCCGATTCTATGCTGGCCACGTTTGTGTTCTGCATCAACTTGATCTTCATGGCTGCCGTGGCGCCCACCGCCTGCTGCAGTATATTTGGCGGCTTTGGCTGATTCTTGTCCGCCTCATATTGCGCTCGATGCAGCCGCTGCCGATGCTTGTACATGTTCGCGCTGCAGAAGAACGTCATGGGACAGTTTGGACAGGTGTACAGAACTTCGCCGGTGTGCGTGGATGTGTGTTCCTGTGGATCCGAAAAATATTCTAGGTAAAGTTTGTTTTGATTTTAAATTTTGTAGTTAGCGCAGACCTTTAGTTCCTGGGGTCGTTTGAACGCCTTATCGCACATGGTGCACTTGAACTTGCGCTCGCATTCGTGGCTGCACGGAGAAGAGAAAAAAGTTAGTACTATGATGGATGACGTGCAATTATAAGTGGACATTACTTGTGGTAGATATGCCGTCGCAGGGCCCGTGCATTCGGGGAAATCTTGCTGCACACATGACAACGATGCTCGCCCGCGCTCTCTACATGTATGCTCTTCATGTGCTGCTTCAGGCCGGTCATGCCCTTTAGCCAGGCGCCGCAGATTTGGCACTGCTTCAACTCGGGCTCCGGTCGCGGTGTGTTTGAGTGCATCAGTTCCTGATGCTTCTTCAGAATGATTTTGGTGCGCATCTGTTTGCCGCACTTGTCGCAAATGATAATGCTCTCCGGATCATGCATGGAGTTCATATGATTCTTTAGCTTGCGTTCAGTCAGGAATCTGTAAAGGAATAACAATTAGGCAAGCTATTGTTGATTCACGCGGATAACTTACTTTTTGTTGCACTCGGTGCAGGTGAATTTGAATTCAGACTTGGGCACATGCTTGTTTAGCTTATGGTAGTCAATTGCCGTTTTGCTAAGGAAAGCCTTTGAGCATAGATCGCACTGGTAGGTTAACTTGGCCACGTGCACCTGTTGATGCGACTCCAAGTGCCGTGAATTTTGGAATGACTTTTCGCAGGTGGTGCACTTAAAGTGGTCAGGATTCCAATGAACCAGTACATGCTCGGCGAGCACTTTACGCTGCGTAAACTTGCGGCCACAGCAGATCATATAACCGGGATCCACTTGATGTGTGAGGCGATGATGGCGTTGCATTTCCGTAAAGTTGTGCACCAACAGATTGCATATGGAGCACGGTAATACATCGCTGAAGAACTTGGCAATGATGCTATCAAATTCCTCCTGTTGCTTCTTGCGCTGATCCAGCAGCTCGCGGGACATGCGCACTCTCGGCTCGGCCGGCTTGGCACGCTTTTTATATTTTTTGGGCCGCACCGGCGTACGCTTCGGTATGACGGCAAACTCACCTTCGCTGGGCTTGTCCATAGTAAAATCGGAATCATCATCACTCTGTGGACTCTCCTCGCTGCTGTCGTCGTCGAGCCCCTCGTCGAGCTGGCCTACAAAGTCCTGATCATCGTCATCGTCACTAAATTCGGCGGCGTTTTCCGACTTAAGGTTTGTGTCCAAATCTAAGTTTGGCTGAGATTGCGTTTCATTTTGTGTTTCTTTAAGGATTGTTTCGCTTTTCCGTGGCCGCCCACGACGTTTTTTCGGCGTCTCCGCAGGTTCATGAGCAATAACTTCTATGCATTCTACCTGGACATGTGGAGTTTCAACTTCCGCTTTGACACGCTTGCGTAGACGTCGCCCTGGCGAGGAGTTCAATTGGACAGTTTGTAGGCCGGCGGTGCTCTCGAGCACCTCAATTTTGGGCAGCTGTTCTAGCTCATGTTCCTCTATCTTAACCTCCGGGTAGAAGAAATTGCGATCATTTGGCTCGGCTGGATCTGGATTGGCATTATCTGCCGCCTGTTTAGGCGTCTCAGTGCAATTGCCCTGGGTGAGGGGATCATCCTCCATGAGCAGCACCTTTGTTTCCCGCAGCGAACACTGCGTTGCGCTGACGAAATCGTGCAGCGTATTGAAGGCAGAAACAGTACCCCAACATAGCGAGCAGATTTTCCGAGTCTCCCCACTACTTTGGGCCAGCTGCATGGGTAAGTGTTTGTTGATTATCTGCACGACATTCAGCTGGGCACCCTTTGCGGAATAGACATCCATATAATCATCCAGGTTGAGTGCGTTTACCTCCAGGCATAGCAAGCAAGCGTCAGGCGCTGGCACATCTGAGGTAAGACAAAGTAAAAGTATAAATACATATCGGTTATTTTGATTATGCGTGTATTTCACACAACTTACCCATGTTTTCCTAAAAAGCTTTTATATACATATGTAGAAACTCTTTTATTAAAATAGCTAAGCAGACAATTATGTTTTATTTATTTATGTTGCGCTGTCTTAGGCGTATTTGGCCGTTTAGGCGCATTCTCTAAAATCAATATAAAATGTGTTTTAAATTTGTTTCTTTTAAATAATTTGTAATTTTATGTTTTCTTGTTGAGACAGTTTGTGGAGGCCGAACGATAGGCGGCTAATAATATTTATCGATAGGCAGCCGATAGGTGTAGTGTTGCAAGCTGATAAAAAATGTAAGCTGGCTCACAATAGTTTATTTAATAGGAATCGGCTATGGCTCCTAATAAATTTAAGAATATTTAGGCATGAATTTCAACAAAAAGCATTTTATGCTTAAATATACAAGATATTAATCAACTGCTGGTTTACCTTCGGTCCAGTTAACAGCCTCAGCATTTGCAAAGCAAAATTTGCACTCGGATATATTTGCAACGGGATCTGCAGACGCGTTCGGCGAACATAAACAATGTGACTAAAATTTGCATGGATGCTGGAACCTGTTGGAAAGAAATTATGAAATTAATCTAAAAGCTGTTGTGCATTATTACGCTGTGTTCCAAACTGCCATTGGAAGAGTCTTAAGAATCCAGCCGGACAACCCATCGAAAAATAAATGCTGAACAATGTCGAGCAAAGAGGAAATGACGGTAAGAATTTCAACTCCATTTTCCCATCTAGGTGCAGATAAATTCTTCTCTTCACAGGTCCCCAAAAACCAATTCAGCTTTTTGCAAGATAGGAAAACCTATTGGTACACTGTAAATGAAATTAAGAATGAAGCCACATGCCCAAGCTGTGGCAGATCTATTGATAAGTTTAAAAATCTAACTGCGCACGTGAAACGCTGTTTTAGCATTAAGAAAATCGGACCTATATACAGACTGCACGGCTATGTCGAATGTAAATGTGGACTCCTAATCGCTGACAACACCAAGGCACAAAAGCTGCATGTGTGCATGGTAAGTCAGAAACAAAGTGAAACTTGTGAGGCGCTACAAATGTTTGTTTGATTTTTGTTTTCAGGGGGAAGTGCCCGCTTTTGAGCCGGATTTGACGTATGTCCGCAAGAAACCAACGCCGGAAGATCGGAAGGCGACAGATAAACGCATGTCGTTGAGCCCCCATCTGGAGCGTGAGCTGCTGCAGCCCAAGCCCTGGATACGTAACTTTGTCTCACCCTTTAAGTTAGATATAGAAAATATGCATGACAATCCCAATCCCAAGCCGGAGCCGCGCGTACGCAATTTTGATTTGCCAGTGAGCAGCAAACGGGAGCCGAAGAATGTCAGCGTCTACTCCATAGGCTCAAATAATGGCACAATTTTCGTAACTGGACAAGCGCCGCCGCCAACGGGCAATCAGAATGTGATCCTAATTAAAAAACGAGCACTGCGTCTGCCACAGCTCAAGAGCGACAAATGCAGTTAGTACGAGCTCGTGCTGAAGTACAACTATTTATTTAATACGCAGCCCGAAAAGCATTTGAAATAAAAGATTGTATTAGTTTTTTTTATATGTAATAAATAGAAAGATCATTTATTATATATAGTAATTGTAAAATGTTGGGTTTACAACTTATGTATTGCTTAGCTTTTTATGAAATACAAATATGTTTGCACAATTACAAAAAAAAGAACATCAAATGCGACAATAACTACGTTTAGTTTTGTGTAAAGTTTATGCATTAGTTTCGTATAGTACATACACTATATAAGTAATATATATATTGAATAGTATTTTCGGTTGTTAAGTGTAAAAATGTCTAAAACTGGCTAAGAATTCAGCTGTATAAGGTTTATGTATTTGTAATTGCTAATGCTTGGTCTGGGCTGGGCGGTCCTCTAGTTTCTATTATATATATATATATATATATATACTTTTGTGAATCTGTGTATATTCCCAACTAGGTCTGGCTAAGTCTGAGATTCCTATACCTACTACTACTTAGCAGCAAAAGTTGGCATTTTGATAGCGAAAGGTTTAGATTTGATTTATGTAGTTGATAAAGATTTTCTTTTTTTGATTTGGCATATAGTTTAGTATAGTGTGTGTATATAATTATGAAGAGTATGCTAAAGCGTGTTTTGTCGTGTTTTGTGCTGCACAGACAAGAGATTTTGGTTGTAACAAAATTTTGATTGCGATTACACAGTTCATGCACCGAGAGTATGGATGTGTCGAAGCCCGGGCATGGCCTGGGCTGTAGCCCATCTAAATGCGTTCGGTGACATAGACTTTGGCGGATGCTGGCGCGTTGGTCCTTCGCACGGCAAAGGTGACAATGATGCCGATCACGACCAGGGTGAGTCCAATTGCGCTCGTTATATAATGCTCAATCAGTTGGTTCTCCGCACTGCAAGAGCAAGTTTAATTATAATACTAATCTCTTCCATTTATAGGATTTGGGCACCCACCTCAAGTTTGGATCCTTGGCAGTTTCGCGTTCCTTCTCGATAATGCCCGTCACAGATGTGGCAATCGCCAGCCAGAAATTGGCCAAGCCCAGGCTGGCGTGTATGGGCACCATGGCGGAGCGGCAGCTATATGTCTTGTTCTCACAGCAGAGCATCACCAGAAAGCTAAATAAAAGCCGGATTGGCACATCCAAAGCGTAATTAGAGCCAGAGACGATAAAATATAACTCAACACCTACGTGAAAAAGCCAATTACGAATTGCAGCAGAAACATGCCCATTGTCACGAAGCCCAGCCATGAGTGCAGACTGTAGAAGTTAACCTTTTGCAATGCGTTGTGCGAATCGAAGACGGAGAGGAACCCGAGCGCAATGCAGGGTATCGCAACGGCATGAAAGAACATGTGAATCAGCTTCACATAGATGTGCTTCACGCAACGGCACAGTCGATAAATTAAAATAGCTGCAATCGAGTTCTTTAGTTGCAATACCCAAGAGACAATTGTTTTTCGGGCGCGCACTTACAAAATCCGGAGAGCGTTACGAAGCCGGCGACCATCAAGATGGGATGCAAATTGAACTGCTGCAGCGGTCGCTCCGTCCAGGCGAAACCTCCGCGATAGAACATGACCCAGAATAGCGTGAGTATCAATACACCCACCAGTAGTATGGTCGAGAGTATGACAATCAGTAGGTATTCACACCAGGAACAGCAGTTCCAGGCATTATCCGGATCCTCCTCATATCGTCTGCAATTAAATTCAAGCACATAAAATCCCAATAAGTTTCAGTTTTTATCGCAAACAATTTACTTTTGTTTAGGCTTGCCGCGTATAGCTCGATTCAGTTGATCGATAAAGCTGCCATTTATTATGTCCATTTATCCACGTAAACCCCGACCTATTATGCTGCATATATATACATTAGAGTTCCTCTGTATGTCATAATTGCATCTAGAGTCTGCAAATTTATCAGTCCGAGTTTCTCAGTCGTAACTTTGTCCGACTCTTTGTCTCTCCTTATGTCTTTCAATCCCTCTCTCTCTATCTATCTCTATCCCTCTGTCTGTCTCCCTGTCTCTCTGTCCGTCTGTCTATCCGACGTTTTGTCTCTCTGACTGTCTGTCTCTCTGTCTGCCTCTCCCCCTCTCTCTGTCTCAGTCTCTCTTTCTCTCTCTCTCCCTCTCTCTCTCTCTCTCTGTCTCTCTCTCTCCGTCCCTCTGTCTGTCGTTTAAATAATTACATAAATTTCTTTTGGACTAAAGCAGACACTAATTGAAAACGCAGCTCTAATCTGGCTTAATTGATTTATAAAGCAAATATTTACTGCGGTCATCATGAATGGGTACTACTGTACTCGCAATTATCTCATTTGCCCTGTCAAAGGTAATTGCCGGACGGATCTATTCTGTCTTCAGATCTTTGGAAGCATTTCAACCAGCAATATTTCTTACTTTTTCGAATTCGAATAAGATTTATAATTTATTAGCTCTTTTTTTTATTTGTTTCGCTTTAATATCGCCCACTGAGTTTGACAAATTTGCATTTAAAAAGTAATCAAACGGTTTTATTTATATTTATAGATTCCTTTTTTAAATTTCTTCGTTATTTGACAGAAATTGAAAACCCTTCTTTAATTTGGGCTATTATTGAAATAGATTCATGTCTTATATTATTTTTATTTCTATATTGTAGATCTGTGCACACGCTTCCAACTCCAGCAAATGGCTTTCAACTATCACATGAAATATAGTTCATATGAAATTGGATGCCAATTAAATTTGTTATTCATATCATTTTCGTCATTATGTTGCGTGAACTGCTGCTGCTGCTGATCATATGACAAAATATTTGAGAATGGCGATGATCTCAGTGTCGAAACAGATGCATTGTTGCGGCCGAAGAGCAGTGGGTGCCAATGGGATGGACTGTGGGATTTCTCACAGAGATGCTGCCACACACAAGTTCAATTCAAAGAGCAGCTGCCACAAGAAAACAGATACAAACAAGTAAGAGCCTCTAGTCGAGAGCACCCGACTGGGGTATACCCTAAACCATTTATCAAATTCAAAATATTCTTATAACATATATATCCTATTCAAGGAGCTACTTGTCAAGTTTGATGCCTTCAGCTCTTATAGTTTACGAGATTTGCTTAAAAGGCAGGTTTTTGGCATCGATTTTTATCGATTACTTTGAAACGGGGCAAGTTATCGATTATCGGACACAAATTCGTACTGCGTGGGCACTAGCAGCACCTACATTGCAAATTTCAACTCTCTAGCTCTTGAGATACTCGACTATGTATGCTAATCGGGAATATTTATGGGGTCCTTCTGCCTGTTACATACGTTTGCACAAATACATTATACCCCTTTTACACACTTTTAATGTGTTCGGGGTATACAAAGAGACGCCAAGTGGCCACAGCTGGGCTGAAGGGGGGCTGGGCTGGAAGGAGGCTGGGCTGGTCTGGGGGGCAACAGCTGAATGGAGCTGTGGTAATTAGGCGCATTTCTGTTGGCCAACGAGCCGCTTAATCATTTCCAAGTGCAGCTGATTTCGCGCTGCGGTTGCACTTGAAGTGACAGCAAAACAATTCCAACAAAACGAAAGCCAAACAAAATTATTATTATTTAAATTAATAGTGCGCACAGCAAAGAAATCGGTCGCAGCTTGATAATGAAAGCAAAAGCCAACACACATTAAAAATCAAGTAAAAGTGATTTAGTTGCGCATACTAGACTATCCAATACCCTAGACTCTGACTCTGCATACTACCCCCAAATATTATCTCTCTTTTTAACATCAGTGAGAGGTATTCTCAATATAATAATTCAAATATTTATTGGAAAATAATATGCAAATCCTTTAATGGGTGTGGCTTTTATAAGCCTCCTTAAAATAACGAATTTAAAATCGATATTTATCGATTTTGTAGATTGGCATAAAATCATTTGTCCTTAAAGACGGCATTCCAATAATTGTCTATAATCAGATATTTCCGCTTAAAGCACTTACATTTTGTTCTGAATGTAAAATCGATATTTATCGATTTCCGATAACCTATATGCCAAGCTAAACGCCTTCAGCTCATTTCTACTTTTTATGCAGTCAGGCGACAAGACTAGATGCTCGCTCACATTTTTAATGAGTATAGGGTATTATTATTATTATTAAAAAAAAAATCAACTTGTTTAATACCATATTTAAGCACGCACTTTCTCAAAGGGGGGCAAGGGGTAAGGAGGGGTAATTGGGTTTGGGTACCGACTGCATTGTATCACTTGCATCATTTTGTGATACGCGACTCGTAATAAACGCTTTAATTAACATGCGCCGCGGCATCCGTCAGTGTCTGACCAAATGACCGTCCGTCTTTCTGTCTGTGCGTCTGTCTGGCTGTCTGTCCGTCTGGCTGTCTGTCCGTCTGGCTGTGCCCCACTGACGTTGTTGTTGTTGCACTGACAGTCGATGCATGCCTCGGCGAGCGATGTCAATGAACGGCCAATGCAACAAAACAAACAATTTATACATATATACGTATGTATATACCCTATACCCACATGTTATGGTGAGGGGATTGGGGCTGTGTGTGGAGGCTGCAGCATTTAGTTTTCAACACATTGCACAATGGAGTGGGGGTAGGAAGATAGGAGGCGGGGGCCTAGCTGCAGAAGCCGCTTGCTTTAACACACATTTCACTTGCCGCCCAAGTGCAACAACGACCACAAATTGTTGTTGCAGCCACATGAGAAGAAGAAGAAGGAGGGGGGTGGTGTTGCTGGCAGTCTGCATGCAGCTGCATCTTGTTGTAGCTGCATCTGTATCTGCATCTGTGCAGCTCTTTCACTTTTTTTTTTAACTGGCTCTGGGAAAATTTCGCTAAAAGCTTTTGCTTTTGCTGCGTTTTGTGCAACAACTCGTTTTACATAGTCGGCTGCAAGTTGCAAGTTGCAAGTGCAGACTAAACCTGAACCTGAACCTGCAGTCGCTGTTGCAGCCATGGCTTTCAATGTGCCTGCTGCTGATTTAGCGCCAATTGTTGCTAATGGGTCAGCAACAATTTGCGGCTGTTGACACTGCGCCCACAACAAAAACAACAGCAACAACAACAACAACAACAACAGCAGCAGCAGACATGGCTGGAGACTGCCTGGTGCCAGGCGTGTCTAATGAAGGAAAGTGCCAAATCCAAAGCCTAAGCTGACAGTTCCTTAACCGCAACAATTTTCATAGACCCGGCGAAAGCAGCCACAGCTACAATCAGCCATAGATTGTAGCTGCATGTCATGAGTGTATTATAATATTGAAGCCGACATCTGCAAACCCAATCAGAACTTATATCTATATATACGTATGTCTGATCAGCCAGATATATTTCTAGATTTAATTCCCAGTTGTTTTGACCAAACTCTTCACTGCTATCAACATCAGAGCCCAAGGAAGTCAATTGATGTCTTGTATTTGCAAGATACTTGTGATTATTATTCTAGTCTTTATAAACTACAACGAGAATAACAATTTGAAGGTTATTTAAATAGCTACACACAAATTATGTATAAGTACAAATAGCATAATGTCCGTCAGCTTTTATCTGGCTGTTGGTCTTGTGGCAGTTGATAAGCTCATGTGATTTCCACACAAAAGATACAAATGTATCTGAAGCGTAGTGCAAACAGCTATGCCATAATGAGAGCCCAGCCGTGAGTTGTCTTTGGGCTGTTAACTCTGCCAGTTGAAAGCGGGCTAATTATGGTTAAAACAGCTGATGGATGGCACTCAAAACTGGAGCGCGACTCGTTTAACTGCATCAAGAATACAACTATTGACGCGGCACAGATACAAAAGTATCTGCAAGTGCTGGCTGCGTATATCTGTAAGTACACGCAGCTTAAGTAGGTGTTTGGCATGCAGGAAACTTGGGCACAATTTCAATTAAAGCAAATTAAAACTACAATTAAACCTTAACTAAATTAAAACATATGCTCGCAAGCATGACGGAAAATCAAGCTCAGAAAAACAACAAGAATGAAGAGCTATGTTCGGCACGCCGAAGATTTAATACTCTAGCGAGAATCAACCTCATAGTGCCCATATCTAAGAAGCTCAGGGAAAATAGTTAATTGTTAAGATTGATACACACAAATGTTTTCCATGCAAGCACCTACATTTCGTCCGATCGTTCCTATGGTAGCTAAAAGAGGGAAAGAGGGACGAATGCAAAGTTTCAGGACGATAGCTTTAAAACTGAGAGCCCACTTCGCATAGAAACAGACGATGGAAGGACAGACAGAAGAACCTGATCAATAATATGGGTAAGGAGATGTCTCCTTCTATGCGTTACACATTTCACGTAAAAATTATAATAGCCTGCTCTGCAAGGGTATCAAAAGAAAAACAGACGCACACAATGAGTGTGTGTGTGTGTATCCTGCGGGTTAATTATGATGAAGTGCGCGTAACGAAGCTTAGCTACAACCAAGTTTTACTTGTATCTATGTGTGTGTAACTATGTGTGTGTGTGTGTGTGTGTATCTGTGGTGTTGCTTTACAATGGGCGACAATTGTTTACGGACAGAGCGCCGTCTCGGGGAGTTTCAATTGAAACATTTTCGTGCGGTTGCTGCCCCGTTTTGTTTAAAAGGCCTGCGGCTTGTGTTTCGCCTGCATGTGTGTGTGTGTGCGTGTGTGTGCGTGTGTGTGCGCTGGTAATTGTATCTTAAAGAAACAATCATAAATTCGCAGTACCACAACTCGACACGCAGCGCAAATGCGACACTGTGTGGCAGTTGCCCTGCAATTTATTCATTGAATTATTGTATTTATTTATCATATTTATAAACATTTCTTCTCTTTTTTTTTTTCTTTATTTTTTATTTTTTTATTTAGCTCGAATTCGAATTAAGAGCCAGGCAGCCTGGCTCACAGTACTCTATTTAAAGCGGCATATGCAGTCATATGTATCTACCCCCAAAGCAGCATATAATTTATCAATTTAAATGTTTTTGAGCTGATCTTTTAAGGCAGAGGGCAGTTCGACGAGTTGCAAGCCTCATTTTATTTGATGTGCAGGTGAACTCAGGAGATGGCCTAGATTAGGTGTCTGAGAGACTAAGAAACGATAGATCGCCAGATTAAATAAATTAATTTTTGTTAATTTAAAAAAAAAAAAAATAGCAATAAACAATAACAGCTGCCTTTTTTCATGTCCGAAGCTTACACAAACTATTTTACTATCATTTTCAACATTTGTTCCGATAATGTTTTAACATATTACAGACTGAATTTCCTGTACGATAGGATCTCATCTTAGCTAAGCTTTAGGCTTAATGAAAATAAAAAATAACAGCTGCCTTCGTACATATCCGAAGTTTTCACGAATTACACAAACTATTTTACTATCATTTTCAACATTTGTTCCGATAATGTTTTAACATATTACAGGCACATTTTCCATTAGATAAGATCTGGTTTCGGTTGAGCTTTTGGCGGACAAGATGTGTCAAATATGCGTTAATTAGCAGCAGAAAGCCTTGATATGCTAATAAACAGTCCAGATATAATTCTTTACTCCAGTCCCATAATTCTGAACTAATTGTTGTATAATCTGTTGAATCAACATGAAGTTGATTTGATGAAGAGCTAACTTACGCTGTTGTCGTTCCTCCACGCGGCATTTTGCCCAAATGACGATCGCGCATTTAACCGAATTTATGTAGATTTTCCTTTTGTTGTTTTTAATTTTTTTTTTGTTTTTGTTTTTTGGCGCGCCAAGCAAACCGGCGAGCACACGGCGTATACGTAATTAATACGTCACAGCGCGTCTATTTTCTATAGATCGCCAATCGAGATCGCGAGCGTTTGGCTGATGTAAAGAGCTTTTCGGAATTTCCCACAAAAAATATTTGCAATTCGTTGAAGTTCTCTAACGTATACGCTGTAAAAATTACAATTGAAAATTCAATTCGTTGCATTTGCAACTGAGTCTGCAGCTGAGCCTGAAGCTTAGTCTGAAGCTGAGAGATTAAGTAAAAAATAATTAAAACATTTGCCTAGTCGTAGACGAATATATAAGTATATCAATCGGACATTTAGACTTGCTAATCAGCACGTTAATTTGTCAGGCACAATAATATAAGGCATTCTGGAAAATAAAAATGTTTTAGTTTCGCTTTGGGCTTCGGTTCCCAAAGATATTCAAGAAGCTAATCAATGCCATTAATTAACGTGATTGATGTCTTGTGCATGCAAATGTGATGTCTTTTCGACAACTTTCGATTTCATTAATTGAAAGACAATGTAACTAGCATCCATTGATATAGGTTCAGCTGTTTCTATTTAAAATGAAAACTAAACACTTTCTATATAAGAGCGCAAGGTTATTGTTTATATTGTTTCCTTTTGTTCTCCGGCAAACACAACACTTAAATCCACACACACACATAAATACACACATTTGTTTTCCACACGATATTCAAATAACGCCCGACAGCCGCAATTAATGTCCCTTACCGATCGACAGCGAATGAACAACTGAAAAACCAACTGAAAATGCTGGCGGTTTGTGTGGGATCTGCCGCCGGCGCGAGAGAAATGGCTGCTGCCGCTGCTAAAGCTTTTGTCCGTTTTATTTTCAATTGATAACGTACCCGATTTTATAAACAAAATATAACATTTTAATTCTGAGAGCTTATTAATTGTGTCTTTTATCTAAAGACACAACTATTTATGTTCCTTAATAATATTAAGCAACAAATGCGACAACTTTAAAATCAAAATAACGTCAACAGACTGTGCATGCAATGCTGCTGTTAGGCATATGTTAAGCTCAAAAAGGCACTGTTAAGCTCAAAATGTTGTGTAAGATTGATCAAAGCAAAGACACGAACCAGCGACAAGCTTTGGCGCCATATTCAAAAGTGTTTTGAACTGAAGATATTAATCAAAAGTAAATATGTTTTACAGAATTAACTGTCTAAATAATTTTGTCAGATTTTAATATTAATTACTTCAAGTGTATCTCTCGGCAGTTGCATTTTACTAGCGCCTGTGACCTTGTTGTTGCTTAGCTTGTCAACACATTTTTGAGACTTTTAGGCAAATATTATAAAAGATAGCCGCAGTTGCTTGAGTTTCTGTAAATATTATAAATGATTTCAGCTGACAGCATGATAGGAATAAGAGTTCTGATAAAAAATATGACAAACGAGGTGCCCAATTATACAATGGTCGTGGGGTCTTGGTTAATACGCTGCTCTATTTATAGAGAATTTTCATTTATTTATTAATAGCGCTTCATTTAATAATTGCGCACAGGGACATCAATCAGAACATCTGCCTGACACTGTTACCTAACTAATCAAATCTATATAAATAATAGATGAAGTTTGTAAATGCTAAACGAAACTGGGACACTTCTATTCGGGTCGGTTAATTACAGGACATTGAGGGACACACAGAGAAACCGAGCACACCCTGCTAATGCGTGCTCATTACACACGGCAAGGCTGTCCAGGTGAGAAACACGAGACAACTGGCAACTCCTTGAAATGGACGCGTTTTCGTTTTCGGCTGAGCGCGCCCACAAATTACTTCAAATCGAAATGAAATGAGCAAAAGTTTCCAGGTTAAAGCCACAAAATATGTACGTAATTACATGAGGTGAAAGACGAAAAAAATAGAAAATGAAAACAAGGATATGGTTAGGGAAAGAACTGTGCGCACGCACGCGATCAACTGTTGAATGTGTGTGCGAAAGGTGTGCGTGTGTGTGTGTGTGTGTGTGGTCTGTGTGTGATTTGCGAGCTGCTCATATTAAAATAGAATTTACGACCTACCGTGTACATGGATTAGGAAATTGGCGCATTAAAAAAAAAAAGGAAAGGAGTACGCCAGGTCTAAGGGCCGCCCCCTGCCTTGCGCCCCCGCTTGAGCCAAGGGCGTGGCCCAAATGCTGTGCATTAATAAAGCGGCGTATACGTAACTTGGTGTTCCTTGGGCCCAATGGAAATGTAAATGGTTACACTTGGGCCCATTACGAAACGATTAATGTGCACAGTTTTAACGAGCTATTTTGACGACAGCTCCGCGCTGACGAGGTCAAGGCAGGCTCCCGATCCCAGGTCATATAACTAGCCCAGCTGGGCTCAGCTAAGCTTAGCTCCCGGCTAGATGTCGCCAATTGCTACGCTCTTCAGTTCCATGTGCTTTCAAATACAGCTTGACACAATTTATTTAAATTTTTATTTAACTTATTTTTGCTTTTTTTTTTTTTGTTGCTTTTTGTTTTTTTTTGATTAGTTGATGGACTGAAAGAGCGCAACAACAGCACATGTCTCCTTAATTCGTTAGCAGATAGAACAAATAGATCTTCAAAACATATGCGGCAAATACACATGTGTTGACATTGCTGCAAATACCCTGTAGAAACGGGCGATACAAGGTACATATAGCAAATAGGCAGTAACTGTTTTTCTGACTGAGACTGACCTTGTTATTCTTTAAGATACTTCTGACTAACTGTATTTAAAGAATGCTTAGACGTCGATTTTGCCTACTTCTATACAAGCTAGACATATTCATACCCTGTAAACTTTCCTCTATCATAATGCCAAAACTCAACTGATTTATATAAAGAATAACTTTTTGTTCTTGGTTTGACCTCCATTTAATTTTGACAAGACAATTTTTGTCGAAATATGTATTGTTGATTATTTTAACCCCCCAAGTTGGATGGCAGAGCTTTCCATAATTATAATATAACTTTGCCAAAACCAAAACGATTTTAATGGCTAGCACCTTTTTTGGCCTAATTTACGGATCAAAATAAAATAATACATAACCCAGAGTAGCAGAGTTGTATATTAGCAGACATTTAAGACCTGGGATTATATTTTCAAGATCTTAAAATATATTCTCTTAATAAATGGACTCACTTTTCATCTGGCGGCGGCGGCATTTCAATGCCATTGGGCGTGCCCGGCGGCGTCTTCTCGTTCTCCATGATGGCCAGCGGTGGCAGGGGACTCACCGAATTGCTATCCATGTGAAGGCAATCAATTGTTGATAGTTTGCTGCTGGCCGCCTGTCAAAAGGATGAAACGTTAAGAGCTGTTGTCTATTATGTGCGGGGCGGGGCTATCAAAAATCGGAGTCCAACTGCAGCAGACAGCAAGAGCATATTTTTCCCTCTATTTTTTTTCGCCCCTTATTTTTGCCTTTTTATGTGTAGCTCATAAAAATGTTTTCCATAATATTTAGTAGCAGCTAAAATGGGAGTCAGAAGTGGCGAACTGTTGCTGACAGATGCGGACACGGACACAGCAGGGTCTGCCACTGGAATAATATGGGGGCGAAAATCTCAGCCGCTGGCCTGCGGTTGTTCCAAACCCGCCTGCCCCCTTCCTACCACCACTGTGGTGATGAATGGCGGCGCCGTTATATGCCACTTTTCATTACGTAGCTGCCAGCTAAGTGTGTGTGCTTGTATGTGTGTGGGTGTGAATGGCTGTGTGTGCGTGTGTGTGTGTGTGTGTGTGTGCATTCGCTCTGAATGGAAATGAAGCTGCAATCTCTGCCATATTGTTGAATGAATTGTGCAGCGAGTGCTGCCGATAACTGATCCAATTTCTCTCCCTCTCTCTCTCTCGCTCCCTCTCTCTTGCTATATATTATTTAAGCTTAAAATGGAAATTTCATTTTATTTTTGGATATTATGGGGCGACATGCACAAAATGCTCACCCAAAGGTAGAAATGCGGCATCAACATATTTGAGTGCATTGCACTTGAGCTGCATTCAAGAGAAAAACAAGTTGGGGTACTTTAGCTTTTTGATTGGCTTTGTGACGTCAAGGAGATAAGCTCATGGCAAGCTTCTGCTAAATTTCTTACTCAAGCAACTGAAAACTTAAAAAACTATAGCTTAAATTTTTGTGTTTGCAGATTTGTATTTAAAAAGAAGTTAACTCTTGGCATAAAAAGGAAATAACCCTTGCGTGATAAAAAAAAGTCCCATGAGCAATAAAGGGAATTAGTTTTACATTAGAGAAAAAGTGCTTTAGGCAAAAAAAGGATAAGTTCTACGTGAGAGAAGAAAGTACTTGAATATAAATAAAAAAAAGTGAGCTAAAACTATCTGAATATCAGCTCAAGCAGCTCTTGGGTCTTTTAAGGGCATACAAGCTTCGGTGTGGCGATAATCAATTTGTGTTTTTTTTTCTCTTTTGTTTGTTATTGTGCGCTGTGCCAGACGTAGTCGACGTGTAAAATTGACTATCATACGTCCGAGTGCGTTCTGCAGAATCGTTGAGAGCGCCAATTTCCGACATGGATGTCGCCTCGTGTCGCAGTTTGATTGAAGTCTCTCAGTCTGGCCCACACACTACAACAACTACTACTAAGTACAACAACAAAAAGTACCATGGGAAAACCAATAATTATACGTAAGTACACACACGTCTGTTCTATTTATTGGCAGTTCATTGAACTTAGCCCAGGAGACATTTGATGGACACTTCAAACTTCCTTTTAATGCATGAGTTATCCCTCCATCGAATCGCTTTGCATAATCGACATGTGTCCATTTCTCAGGCTCGACTTGGCCAATGGCCAATGGACAACCAATAACTAAGCTCCCCTTACCTTGTTTACCCTAGTCCATTGCGTACTTGATTTGTGTCACAACACTTTTCCAACTTACAAATTGTTGATCCATTCACACAAACAACCCAAACTATTCCATCGACCTGCCTGTTTAATAGTATTGGGGCTTCAACACTTTCCTTGAATGTGTACACAGCACAGAAAACTGTGGGAATTACGCGCAATTTTGATTTGCCTAATACACTTGGAGAAAAAGGACTATCTGCATGAATAGTACCCCATAGTTGCCTTAAGCATAAGCTCAATTATTATTAGAATTTGCATGGGAATTGAGGAATCATATTTCCCGACAGGATTCTTCACGAGAACGACCTTCTGGCATTTGTACAGTTGTAAATTTTAAGTGAAAGACTTCGTTCTTGGTTATATGTAAGTTATATATAAATCTTACTTGGTTCAAGATAACCAAGATAAGATCAGTAGGGATTGATAAGGTATTATTCTGTTTGGTATTATTCTATTTGAGCATAAGATCCTAGGATTTTCCTAGCTGTTCAATTGAACATCTTTCGACTCCATTAAAATTCACTCTATACAATTCATGTCAGATATTCTAATCTTTGGATCTACAAATTCCGAGAGGAAACACACATAAGTCCATGTCTCAATTGCCGACTGCACACAGAGAGCGCCGTTGCGTGAGGGAATTATAAGAGGGAATTATAAAGGGGGGGAATTATAAGATATCGCTAGCTAGCACTTATTGCCCGATGGCCCCAATTGTTCATCTAGAGGCGCCCACATATCAGTGCCCAGACCCAATTTGATGTAGGAAACTGCACATTATGCAATGCGGCGTAACCGTTTCCGTATCCGTATCTGTATACAATAACAAAAGCCATGCAACCGAAAAACTATTCGAAAATGTTTGACGCTTCGTTTGAAGCTTTTGAGTATATTCATTAATAATGAATGAAATATCGCTGCAAATGAGAAAGGCTCAATTAGTAAGGTCTGTTATTAGTCTCCCATTTTGTAGAGTATATTCTGTTTGCGGACAAAGCTTTATAATCCGATTAAGCGTAGGTTTTTTTTTTTAAGGGTAGAAAAAACTTTGGGGCTTGCCGGAAATGGTTAGAGGTCCGGGCAATTGCAGTTGTTGTTGTTGCTGCTGCTGCTGATGCTGCAGTTGTTGTTGTTGTTGTTGTTGTTGTTGTTGTTGTTGTTGTTGTCGCTCTGCTGCCAAACAATACAAATAATCGGTCGTCTTACTATAACCTACCCCAAGTTTTTATACAGTGCGCACTGCGAACTATTCAAATTCCAAATGACTTTTCACTTATGCGCTTTAATTTATAAATCCATCAAATGTTCACTAATTAAATGCCGTTGCAGCGCGATTAACTAGCGGGCTATAATTTAATTTATCATTTTGACTAAATATGCAAGCGCACGATGCCACAAAACTGGGGGGAAATACACCAAAGCCGCGCCACGTCTGCTCGCCACGAATGCTGCGCTCGAACTAAATTGTTTGCCGGCAGCATTCGACGCGCTGGGAACATCGAATAATTCGTTCGATGTTGTTGTTGTTGTTGTTGTTGCTGCTGGTTGGTTGGGGCTTGGGGGTTTTCGAACAACCGAACTTCGTGTCGTTGCGTGACAGTGGGACAAAAGCATTGGAAACAGACTGGAAACATTGGGCGGGTCTCCTCTGATAAGTGAGTGCAGTTTAGTGGCTCGATGTGAAATAGTATTATTATTATTGGTATTATTATTAATAGTATTAGTATTAGCTTTATTATTATTGGTAATAGTATTATTAGTATTAGTATTCGATTTATTATTATTGGTATTAGTATTATTAGTATTAGTAGCATTAGTATTATTAGTATTAGTATTATAATAATTATTAACATTATCGTAATTATTAGAGCCAGATTGATTTTTGATGTCTTTCTAGACTAGACCCTAATACCTTGCAAATAATATTCAATTAGGTTTGGGATAATACATTTATAATAATTCATTAGCTATAATTAGCAGTATTATATGTTACCAGTTACTTATCCTCCAGGGATTTCAACCTGCAGCCTTATTGTTCGGTTGTCTGAATCGTAAGGACAATTCACTAACAAGGACTGCTATATTATAAAGTTGAATTGGTTAAATACTGCTCGGTGGGTTTCCTTGCAAGATATTTGGGATTTCCCTGCCAAATGAAAACAACCAAATCTTAAGTTTTTATTAAGTTTTATTTAATTTATACACATAGACATAGGAACTTAAGAGAAGAACAAAAAACACGCAGCTCTGAGCTTACATCGAAACACTTTCAATTGACAATTGTGTAATAAGTACATATTCACAAGTCACAGGTAGATAGATTATGTAAGTTTTTATATTAGATAACTCTGTGGGATATTTTTTTTAAATACATTTGTTATTGTCATTGCTTTCAATGGTATCTTAGAATGCTTGTCTAAAATCCTACGAAGTACAAATGCTGCCTTCATTCGCTTTGATCGGAGAAGCATAAATAGATATTTCTGTATATATATAACATATATTTATATATCGTATATAATTTATGGTATGTATGCTGGGTTCATTATGGTTAATGTCACAAGTTGTAGAACTCGGATAGCTAACTAGAATTGTATATTAACTAGAGATGATTAAGCAAATAATTTAAGCGAGATTCTACAGTTATCTATTTATATATATATATATATATAAATGTAAATTTGTTGTCCATAGGTCTCTAGAGGCCCGGCTTGGTCTTGTCCACGCTGGCCAGGCTCGCTGTGCTGCCAGCCTCCGAGGAGACGGGACTGCTGCTCCGGGGCTCAGACTCCGCAGGGGGTAAGGGACTGCTTGCCAGCTCGGTCGTGTTGCAGGGTAACTCCTGAAATATATATATTGAATATGTATTATCTTATATTAGATTGTCAATGGCCTTTTACGCACCTCATCGGCAGCGGTTTTGGTTGTCACCGATTCAGTGATGCACTCCTGCGGCGCATCCTTGGCATTCTCGGCCCAGCGCTTGAGGAAGTCGACCACGTCCGAGTGGCAGAAGTTCTCGGCCTCGTCGACGGGCAGATTGCCCCAACGATCCTTGGGATTGTGCGGCACATGGCACTGCTCCAGCAGAAATTTGACACACTCCAAGTGACCCTCCGAGGCGGCCAAATGGAGCGCTGTCCGTCCATCGTAATCGGCCAGGGTGATGTCCATGCCGGACAGACGATGGCGACGCAGTGCGGTCACATCGCCGCTGGCGGCGGAGAAGAGCAGATTGACAATGGACAGGCCCTTGGTCTCGTAGCGATGCTTACGCGGATCCTTCTTATTGGACAGATGCTTCAGATTGTCGTAACGATGGAAATTGAACGTGTTGACCAGCTCCTCGCAGAACTGCAGGCCACGCACCGTATTGCCCAGCTGATCGAGTGGCGGCGACCAGGCAAATATGCCCATCACATTCGGTATGACCAGCATCATGCCGCCACTGACGCCCGACTTGGCCGGCAGGCCCACCTTGAAGGCGAACTGACCGGAGTAGTCGTAGGTGCCACAGGAGTGCATTATGGAGAGCACATCCCGTATGACTTCCGGGCGAAAGACCTTCTCCTCGGTGGTCGGACAAATGCCGCCATTGGCCAGACTGGCGGCTATCACAGACATGGCTTCGCAGTTTGTCTCCATGGCGCAGCACTGGAAATAGTAGTCCATCACCTCCTTCAGGTTGGTCCGCTTCGGGAAGCACTTGTTCTCGCGCATATAAAAACCAAGGGCGTAGTTACGATCCGCTGCCTCGCGCTCCGAAAGGAATACGGCGTTGTTGAAGCCAATGTATTCGCCGCCGGACAGACGCTTGAACCAGGACATGGTGTAGTCGAAGATCTCGGCGGAGGTCATATCCGGCTTGACCAAGGCGTTCATCAGCGAGCAGGTAAGTATGGCCCCGGCATTGATCATGGGATTGTGCGGCTTCTCTGCGAGGGGAGAAACAAAGGAAGGTTAGAACGGACACGAGCTCGAGTCTGGGTCCGGGTCCGACTTACTATTCTGATCGAGCACGAGTTCGTTGAAAATGCGTCCACTCGGCTCCTGGCCGACAAACGAATGGACAACCTTGGGACCCAGTTTCTCCAGTGCAATGGCATAGGTCAGGGGCTTGCTGCAGCTCTGCAGGGTGAAGGGCTCCTCGACGTCGCCAATGGAGAAGCGTTGCCCGTCGATAGTGCAGATGCTAACGCCCCAGAAATTGGGACTATAGCGGGCCAGTTGGGGAATGTAGTCGGCCAGTTTGCCCTCGGTATTGCTTTTGCAGCGAATATAGATGTCCTCAATGTCCTTGACGAAGCTCGAGAAGTCGGGGATGACAAACTGTTGACGGAACGCCTTGGCTATCAGCACAATATTCGGCGAGACCACGCTGCAAGAAAGCACCTTATATTTATTGTTGAACCTTTTTAATGGGGTTGGCCTAGGACATACGCCTTGAAGGTCTCCCGGTTGAGATGCTGCGTCTCTGCGGACGAGCCCGTCTCATAGTTGTTCAGCTTGTGCACCTTCTTCAGATTGTCCATGAGCTCACGCACACGCGGATCATTGCGTCGTATGCCCGTCGTCTTCAGTCCGGCCAGGAATTTGCCCATGGATATAAGACCCGTCTCCTCGCTGGCAAACATATCGAAGAGTACATCCTCCGCATTGCGTTGTTCCTGCTCCCGATGGCTGCAGGTAAGAAAAGGTTTAAGGAGTTTTTTTTTTTTAAATTTGAGGAGAACTTTTATTTATTAAAGAATTTCGAACATGCGTAAGTGGGAAAAGCAAAACAATATTGCGAAAAAATCCAATACGAAATACCAAATACGTAAAACCAGTTTGGGTAAGGTTCTAATTAGCTAGGTCTAGACCTGTCTAAGCTACAGTGCCTAAAAATAGTCGTGCACGTTTTGCTAGAGTTGCCAAGCTGTGTCAAATTAATCAAAGAAAATGTCAATTATCAATATATAAAAAAGATATATATTTCTTGTCAAATTTCAATTAAATTCAATCAGTTGGCGTTCCAAGCAAATTGAGTGCCCAAGTTATGACTAAATAACAAGTAAAAGGCTCTAGTCGGGTGCTCCCGACTAGGGGATACCCTGAACCCTATAACTATAAAATTAAAGATATTTTTATATATATACTATTCAAGAAGCTACTTGTCTAGTTTGATGTCTTCAGCTCTTAAAATTTACGAGATTTGCTCAAAAAACCGGATTTCGATTTCGATTTTTAACGATTTCTTTAAAACGGGGCAAGTTATCGGTTATCGGAAACAAACTCGTACTGCGCGAACACCAGGCGCAGCCAAATTTAATATTTAAAGTCATTAGCTCGAGTAGGTTATGAGATCCTTGCGTTTATACGGACAGACGGACGAACATGTCTAGATCGACCTGGCTTGGAGATCCTTCCTTCTGCCATTATAGTCTTTGTTACCCACTTTAGATGGGTTCAGGGTATAACAGAAAATAGCCAAGAACAGAACGGGTGAAAGAAACTCTATTTAATCAAGAAGCACTACGAAACAATGATGTTTACTCACGGCCTTATCGAATAGTTGCGTCGCTGATTTCTAAGGAAATAAATAATAGATCAAATTTAACTATATACATATATATATAGTATATTTAATCGGCGATTGCATGTGGCCAAATGGCGTGTCGTAAACATAAAAATCAAATGTAATTAGGGGCGGGAGAGGTGTGTCTTTGTGTCTGTGAATTGTCTCCGATTTATGATGCCCCATAAACCCATACATATATAAATAGACTCACACTCGCGATAACTATATGCTATATACCTGATAATGGCGGATATGGTGCGCACGATGGTGCCGCGGCGATTCTGCAGCGAGATGCCCTCGATGATCTCCTCGATCATGGCGGCCGTCTCGGTTGTCTCCTGCTCTTTGTCGCGCCTATAAAGCTCCTCGCGCACCTTGGCCTCCCCGTCCTCGCTTTGGCGTTTTAATGCAACAATATCCTCTGTTAACACCATGGCGTATGCGTAATATTCTGACTCTAGAGCTCAACTGTTGTGGGTCTAATGAAAGCAACTGCGAGACGAACTGGCATTTTATACACATTAGCCAAATGTGTGAGATTTATTGCGGGCAAGCGACGGAGAGAGGCACGCGAGCTAGGGAGAGGGTAGGGGCGAAGCCAGAGAGGCGGAGATAGGCGCTAATTTCTAAATCATGCCAATAAAATAAATTAATTAACTCCCCATTCAAATCGAATGCGAGCATGTAAACACATGAAGCTATTTGCATTTCTGCCCCATTTTAATGCCAATATTCAAACATTATTATATGGCCAATGTCTGGCCGCAATATGGAGGGGCTGCGTCCCGGCCTGATAACACGCCCTAGACAACCCGCCCGTCCCCCCTTGGGCGGGGGCTCGTCTGCTTGTTGGCTCGTTTACCTGATGTACTTGGTTATCACTTTGATGAAGGTGGCCTTTTGGCTCTTGGTGCAAATGCCCGCAACCATTTCGGCTATGATATTGGCATCTATCAGGTCGGCATCATCCTGCACGGGCTCGGCCTGCTGCTGTTCCTCCTCCTCAGCGACTTTGGCGGCATTCTGCTTGACCAGCTGGATGAGCTGCTCGCCGCTCATGGACTTCAGATCGTCGAGTATCTTTTGGCGTATGCTGTCCTTAAACTCGGCCGCCTCCTCGGGCGTGTAGCCATCCAGCGGCAGCGGCGCCTGCTCCGTGGCATATTGCAACAGGCTCAAACTGCGTTCCCCCATTTATTCGCTTCGATTTTAGTAAACTTTCCGCGTCTCGAAATACTTGTGGCCCGCAGCCTGACGATGCCGAAATGAGCGCCATACCGCGAGGGCCAACAGTTTTATAGTTGGCGTAGCATACGGTCCAAAGAATTGAGCGTATTTCGATCTTATCTTCATTTAATAAAAGTATGTTAATTTATTTTTATGCCCCGAGATTGCCATCAATTAGCAGCTGAGCGCGTGTTGACTGGCCCCCAGCTCCGGGCAATATATATGGACGCCAGCATATGGAGAGGCATTTGCCTAGGATATATAACTGTTTGCCGTCCAACTATATATGTTCATGATCCGCCCATAAAAACTTAGTCGATTTAAATACTACAATATTCATGGCTTGCTTTCGAATATTGTCCAAAAACTTCCCTAAAAAAAAATTCTCTTCCCACTAAAAGGGAAATGTTTTCAAACTTGTTTTCGTAGTGCGCCTAGAACCATATATTTTTTGTGCCCAACTATATATGATCTTGATCCGCCCATAAATTGGCCAAGACTCCATCGATTTTAATGCCATTTTAATCTTGGTTTGCTTTCCACATATAATCCCACAACTTAGTAGGATATTTCCTAAATGGAGAGAACATTCCTTAACATAAGTTCCCCCCTTATTAATTTTTAAAAGTGAAATGTTTTCAAAATTGGATTCTTTGTGCGATTGCAACTAAATTTTAAATTCCCACAAATGTCTCTACTTGCCAGTATTGCCTCGGCGAACAGAGTACCTAACAGCTGAGCAGGATCCTTGCAAGGTAAACAAACAAACAAAAAAGCCAAGATGCAATATTCTTTGGCATGCATCCACAAAAAAATGTGCTCGAAATAATGCGTGCAAATGTGCAAGGTAAATATTTTTGCAAAAATATATTATGAATATGAAGCTGAAGACGTAATATTTTTTTTTTTTTCTTGAAAATCAATTTCTTTGTAAATTCGCTAATTGTGTAAGTCAACTTTTGTAAGAGCCGAACATTTGCATATTACTTGGGCTAGTTTAAAAATAGGCGAGTTCTATAAATGGGCACAAAACTTGGTGACCAGCACCAACTGCTGGGCAAATATAGATCCAACTGTTGTATATCTATATCTTTATCTATATAGATTCGTCTGTCTAAATGTATTTGTAATTGTTGTTCAATCGGGCCACGTGGCAAAAGGCAAAAGGCGAAAGGCAAAGGGCGGCTGGGGAGAGCAGGTGCCAAATGAGAAGTCAAATATTTTGCGCACACTTTGTTATTGTTATAAATTGTGTGAAATTGTGCGAAATTGTGCAATATATGTATAAAATATTTAATGTTAAGTAAAGCACACTCGACTTACAGCTTGGCATTCTCCTCGCAGGGCTTGGGTCCGGAGCTGGTGTCATAGAAGGATAATTTGCGATTGGCGAAAACCAGATTCAGCAGCGGCGGGGTTCGCAGTTTCTTCTGGAAAACACACACAAAATATATATTTAAATATATAAATATATATAAAAATATATGGAACAAGTGGTATGTAAAGATATTGGTTTAGCTTTAAAGCACGTTTCGTGAAATATTTAATTACTTAAATACTTGATGGAAATATTTGCTTTGGGTATTTCACACGTACTATCATTCTCAGACGTTGCGACATTTATGCTTTTGGTACTGTCCCCGGACAGAATCGAAATTGAAATGTTAAACAAACAGCAGAATTTGATCTTTATATATGGAACATGTATTACCGATATTAAAGCTGTTTAACTCTTTGGTTGCTTTTCGTAAAGCTCCTAAAACGCTGCAACAGAAATTTTAAGCAACAGTTATTTATTTGACCTGTATAAATTGCACAACGGGTAGGTTGAACTACTTATATAAAAAAAAAAGAGGTCTTCAAACACGTTTGGTGAGCAAATGTATTCATTAATATTCAATCTAAATTATTTTTATTTAACATGTCCTTTTAATGTGTTGGAGTATTAGATGAAATTGCCAGGCTTGCTATACATGGAATGTGGAATGGTATTTAAATGCATGGGGAATAATTCACAAGCTAAATGATACTTGAAAATATAGGGAAAAATTCAATAGGCGAATTATCTTTAAATATATAGGGAATAAATCACAAACTAAATGATATTTAAAGAGAAAGGGAATAATTCAGGAACTAAATCATATCTTAATAAAGGGAATTATTCACAAGTTGAATGAAATTTAAATATATAGGGAATAATTCACCAGTTGAATGATATTTAAATATATAGGGAATAATTCACTAGTTGAATGATATTTAAATATATAGGGAATAATTCACCAATTCACTGGAGTTTCTTACGTTTTGTTTTAACTATTATAGCTATGAAATTTATTCTTAATAATTATAATATTGTTTTGTTGTTGTTTTCTATACAAATTGGTTTTATTTTCTGCATTCAATTTGCGATCTCTGAGTGACCTTCTCAGTTAGCCAGACAAATAAATATGAAGGTTGCGGGTTCAAAGTTTAAACATTTGTTGTAGAAAGAGGTATGTTTGTATCTTAAAACAACTGTGTCAAATAATTATATTATAAGAGTAACAACTTTAATAATTGAATTGCTTTTGGCTAACACAATTTGATCATAAAAGCACTTTCCCATTTTCCTTTGCTTCCAAAAAGCCAAACAATTTTTTTGCAATTTAATTAAAGATCATTCAAGAGCTGCGATACACTTAAGCAATTGGTTATCAACTATTGAATACTCTAACAGATTAAATTCATTCAGAGACAGTTGGGAATTGCAGGTAATCGAACACCTGGCTGCGGATATTGGATTATCGCAAGTGCCGCATGACATCAGCAGATGCTCGCCGGAGTCCAGCTCGGTGGCCGGACGACAGCGGGAGGCCAATTTGTTAATTGAACGGGCAAATAATTGATAAAAAGTGATTTCAGACCGACTTTCTTAGTAGTTGCCTCTAACGAAAAAAAGAGAACTGAGCACGTGCTATTTGCATACAAGCATTTTTATGGGGGAGGGGCGCTCGGCAAACAGAGTCAGGTGAAAGAAAGGCTGATAAGCACAGCTGTGGCTTTATTGCTAATAAATGTGTAATAACAGTAACCATAAAGGAAACCAACTGCAGCCGCTTCTTAAAAAACAATCACCTTTGCCTTTAGGTTTCCATATTTTTATTTATTTTTTTTTGCAGATCTTGCCATATGACAGCTTTCACAAATGAAATGAAGAGTATCCGCAAGATATTGACGCACGCAGCGCTAAATACAATTGAATCTTATAAATAAACCAAAAAGAACAAAATAAGTACTTAAAGTGTGTGCGTGTGTGTGTGCGCGTGTGTGTGTTTTGCTCATAAGTTGCATTTGTTTATGTGCTGCTCGGCGCTCTCCGAAATACCCACAGCAACAAATGCGAGGGGCTTGTTTTTTGTCAAGTGCCAAAAAAATATATTAGCACACATATCTGAATAAAAAAAAAACTGCCAGCTAGACATGTGCGTGTGTGTGCGTGTGTGTGTATCTTTATAGGTATGTCTCCAAGAATTATATTTTCTTCCATGGCAACGAAACGTAAACGTTTCCACGCCAGGTAAGCAGCCAGGTAGCTAGCGATGGCACCCCAATTAGTTAACTTTGAATTTGGGATTATTTATATTTACTTTAATAAAAGATAATAAGTAGAGGGTATCTTATAGATCCAAAATGTTTGCCCCGGCAAAACCTGAAGCCAAAGAGGCGAGCATATATATGAACATTTGATGGCACCCCAAATTTATATTTTGGATTATATATATTTACTTAAGTATGCTAAATTCTAGCCATAAATGACAAGATGTAGTATCTTTTGTCTTATAGATTCAAAAAGTGTGCCCTATCAAAAGTGTACTTCAAGATACGCCTAAGGCCAGAATATATGAACATTTGATGGCATCCCAAGTATAGTTAACTTTATATTTTGGATTATATATATTTACTTAAGTATGCTAAATTCTAGCCATAAATGACAAGATGTAGTATCTTTTGTCTTATAGATCCGAAAAGTGTGACCCAGCAAAACTTGGAGTTGATGCCAAAGGCCATTTGATTTGATATTCATTGACTTAATGTTCCAGCGAGACCAGTTCTCTATTTAAGAGCTCTCCGCTCGGCCGCTCGACTTGCATGCGATAGTGCCCGGTGCTAATCGGAATTCGCCAAAACCCACATGTTTAGATATGTTTATATGTTATGCGATATATAAACACACATGAATATATACATATGTGTATGTACTTTTTAGCGCTCGCTGGGATTTCTTTTTGTGTGACATGTTGCTCGTGACTTCGGCATTTCGAGATTTTGCGCGTTAACACATATCTGAATCATGAATTAGTGCAAATGTTTTGAACAACAATTAAATCATTCACATATCAACATGAGGCCTGTCACATCTGTATTTATGGTAACTATTTAATTGTGCACACATCATAATTTCATTATCTTGATAGAATATGGACGACGTCACGATTAATTTCCCAATGCAATTTTCCAGTAGTCATGGCTTGACTAAACCAGATGCCACCTCCCTCTGATAAGATAACAAGGTAAACGCATGATATAAGCCTTTTTTTCGGGCACGTAACTTTTAGTTAGATTCAAGATAAGAACTTGGCTGTCTGTCTGAAAGCGTGGTATTCATATATTTGCCCGCCTGGCCATAACATATTTCTAATGTAATTCAACTCCAGACTTATATAAATGATATGAATTTCTTTCGGCGAATTTCGCCAAATGGCGACATTTATATAAATATATTTATATAAACTGCAAAGTGTGGCATTTAATGGGCATTGTAAAAATCAATAATTATGTGATGCAAAAATGTTTGTGGCCCAAACAAACCAAGTCCGTAAAGCCAACCCCCAAAAAAAAAATATAATATCAGCTGGATGGGTGGTGGGGTGTCCCGATTAATCCACCACTGTCGTGGTTGGGTGTCCTGATTAACTCACCTCAGATGCGATTTTCTGCTGCACCTCGTAGCCGGAATGCCTAAACTTGGCGCGTTTCAGCAGCTCCTGCTCACTGTACACATCGACGTCGATCTTGCTGCGTTTGCCATTGGCATCGGCCAGGTCGAGAGATGTTGCCGTTGCCTTCGAGCGTCGCACCAGCACCTGGCCATTAATCAATGCAGCGGAAAACGCACGGCCTTTGGCCGTGTGGCCGGTAAGCAAACGCAAATTCAAATTCGCAAGCGTTGGGACACCTTTAAACATTATCACAGAAACGTGCTGCTGACTAATGACTTTTGGCTAAGCTTTCTCAAATTGTCGTGTATAAATGTATCTATTTGGTTTAGTCTCTGCACATGCGTTCTCTTCGACGGCGCACAA